CGCTAAGGAAAAAGTTGTTTCAAATCACCTCCACTCTGCATATACAGGGTGTCCTAAAAATATTGTAACACCTTGAAAGGGGTGGTTGGGGAGGTGATTTGAAACAACTTTTTCCTTAGCGAAAACATTGTCCGAGCCTTCGTTATGAAGATATTAAGAGAAAACCCTCAACCAATCGGAGCGCCCGCGGTAGGCGTGAGCTACGCGCTAGGCGACCGTCCTTCGCCAGCATCTTTGCGCTCTGATTGGTCAGTGTTTTCCGTTGATATCTCCTCAACGAAGCCTCGGACAACATTTTCGCTAAGGAAAAAGTTGTTTCAAATCACCTCCCGAACCACCTCCTTCAATGTGTTACAACATTTTTGGGACACCCTGTATACGTTGTTATTACTATTATCGTATAACATTTATACAATTATCAATAACATATATAACATACAGAATTTAAAAACGTTTTAAATATACCATAAAGAAAATGAAATCCTCCTAATAGAACTTCTCTACACACACACTTCTCTCACTTCAAATTAAATTCTTCATTAAATTTCACAAATAAAGTTACAGAACCCATCGCCATTTTTCGCTAACCACTAAAACAGCCTTTAATCCACAGAGAGAGCATCTATCCAAATCCGCCATCCTAAGCCTTCTAATTAATTCCACTCCGTAGAAACCTGACAATAAACTTCCCTAAACCAACTTAATAATTATACACGATTTAAATTATACACAAAAATCATCCCGTCAGAAAATTCTCCAACGGTGAAAGGTAAAATGAACCGTAAGATCTTCCGACGCTAAAATCAACCTCGCACACTACAGAACTTGTCTTCCTTCATTAAAAAGAAACTGAAAGGGAACGTGTCACTTTGAACGAGAGAAAAAGAAACAAGGGAAAAGGGACGATTAGGGATGAAAAATCCGTGAAACGCGTCCAAGTGGCCGGAAGTGTTCGGTCGACCGCGTCCTAGTTTAAAGCAGACCTCTGCGTTCGTAGGACAACCTGTTGAACGAATCCTTAAGGCGCCGTGACGCCACTACCGTCGCGTCGCCACCCACTGCACGAGAATCGTCACTATGTCGCGCGCACTCACTTTTCTCCAGCATGGCGTTGGAGTCTAACGGTTAGACCGTCGGTCGGTCGCGTGTCGGGTCGAATTCGTGCGCGGTGATGAACGACGCTCGAAAGACGTCCAAGGACTGAGAGGCGTCGAGACGCTCGCGAGCCCGACACGGACACCGACGCCATCCCCGAACGCTCTGCGTCGTTCAACTACGCAGAACCGACGATTTAGAATAGGCCTGCGACGCGGCTCGACGATATCGCTTCGATCTTCAAACGGAACTATTGAGTATATACAGTTTCTGAATTCTTTTGTGTATTATTGAGTGGAAATGAGACGTTAGTTATATTCTAGAGTAAGTGATATCGCACATTTATATGTGTATGTTTAGAGTTTCTGAATTCTTTTGTGTATTATTGAGTGAAAATAGACATTAGATGTATTCCAGAGTGAGAGAACCAAATTAAACTTTGGAGATAATTCTAGGAATCGAATAAGTGTACAGAACTTGTCCCATTATTTTAATTTTACTGCAATAGATTGTTTTAAATATCTTTGTTTTCAGATATATTCATAATGTATTATTTTCGTGAGATTGGTATTTTAATAATAAACATCTCAATGCACAATATGCAGTAGGGTGTTGAAAATGTTTCTCATCTCCATGTTGGCAGATCATGTATCATTTTTTTAATTTTAGTACAATAGATTGTTTTAAATATCTTTGTTTTCAGATATATTCACAATATATCATTTTGTATTCAAGTATTAATTATAATAACTGCTTTAATTAATTGTATTAATACTTCAATTTATACTGTAATTATTGATATTGACCAATTCAAGTAAAATTAATTATTAATTATATTAAATTAATTATATTAAGTAATTAGTTAATTAATTATATTCATTGAAGTATTTTAATTTAAAATGAAGGCTTTACGGAGAACAGAAAAATAATAATTCAAGCCAGTGCCGAGAAAATATTTTCTTTTCTCTGTATTTTTGTTTTTAATTAAAAAGCATGCTCTACTTAACCAAGCAAGATCGTGAGACGCACCTTTCCCAAACAGAAATCCTTTGCCGAATTTCAAAGCACCGTCGATCTCGTGCAGCAGATCGCTTTCATTGTCATTCCCCTTTGTCGCAAAATCATAACCACGCCCTACAACTAAGAAAGCATGCCCTGAACGTCCAAAAAAAAAAAAGTAAAAAATACAGAAATACATTAACCGGAGCTTTGCACAATATACGAAATAATACAATATAGCGAAGCTCACAAGCGTTGAAATCTGATATCATGGAATATTTAAGCTTCCTGTCTGCGATGCATTTAGCAAGGTTGGTTGTGGCCTGGTTAGGTTAATCTAAACTTAAACTGTAAATAATTTTCTAATTTTCATCGATTCAGAAGCAGAGATGTATTTACAAAAAAAGAAGCATTTTATCCGGCAATAATTATTGCCTTTTCACTGGCCATAATTTCAAATATGAATAGATTAAAAATTAATAACGGTGGATGCTTTACAGAGCGTCCCAAAAATGTTGGAGGTCCTTGAAAAGGATGGTTCAGGGGGTGATTTGAAACAATTTTTTCCTTAGCGAAAATGTTGTCCGAGGGTTCGTTAAGGAGATATTAACAGAAAACCCCGGACCAATCAGAGCGCGAGTGTGCCGGCAGAGGGCGTAGCTTACACCTATCGCAGCCTACTCGCGGTCTGATTGGTCCGGGGTTTTCTGTTAATATCTCCTTAACGAAGCCTCGGACAACATTTTCACTAAGGAAAAAGTTGTTCCAAATCACCTCCACCCTCTTTATACAGGGTGTCCCAAAAATATTGTAACACCCTGAAAGGGGTGGTTCGGGAGATGATTTGAGACAACTTTTTCCTTAGCGAAAATGTTGTCCGAGGGTTCGTTAAGGAGATATTAACAGAAAACCCCGGACCAATCAGAGCGCGAGTGTGCCGGCGGAGGGCGGTCGCCTAGCGCGTAGCCTACGCCTACCGCGAGCGCTACACGCGCTCTGATTGGTCCAGGGTTTTCTCTAAATATCTCCTTAACGAAGCCTCGGACAACATTTTCGCCAAGGAAAAAGTTGTTTCAAATCACCTACCGAACCACCATGTTCAAGGACTTCCAACATTTTTTGGACACCCTGTATTAACAATTATTAACGGTTTAAATGTTGTGTACAAAGTATAGCCAGGAAAATAATTCTATTTTTTAAACTCCATAGGATTAAATTCAAATTTAACATAAGTATTTCACGATTATTATACTAGGTTATTATATTAGCGTTAGTAGTGCCAAAATGAAACATAGAAGGCAAACAGTGCAGAAAATAATGATAATACATGATTTGTAGATGTATAAACGATGTCATGTGTGTTGCGTTCGAAGATCGTAGAAAACAATTGAGATAGACAAAGTAGTATGGTTAAAAGAAAAGTAGGTGTAAGACTGGGTCGATCCGTCATTGAGTATCAATGTGATTGAGAATGAACGTGATTGAATCACGAGTGATTCAAAAGTAGCAGTTCACGCCATCTCTAGTATTGACTGAGACACGCTAAGAATCGGACGCGTGAAATAAAACTGAGTTCTGTCTCTTTCCAACAAAGTTGTACACAATTATTTTTTCCCCACCTCCGTAAATTAATAAAATCCACAGTCTACTAATTATCTCACAAAATTATCAAGAGTAGACCTAGAATATTTCTTCCACACCTAATCGACGCACAGATCCGTTTGCTCCATAAATTAATGATTTACTAGATCCCTAATTTTACCTTTAGCGTAATCCAGAAACAACATTATAAATTAATATACTCCATAAATGAATAAAATCCAGAGTCTACTAATTATCTTACAAAATTATCAAGAGTAGACCTAGAATATCTCTTCCACGCCTAATCGATGCGTAAATCTGTTTGCTGTTACGGCAACGATGTGGCTCCGAGAGGGTGAAGGTCTCGCGATGATTCGACGGATGTAGTAGATTGTGTCGTAACTCGCGATTCGTTGGAAATAGCCAAAATCGGAACGGTGGTTCCGGCGTTGGGCTGGACGCGCGACGAAACGTTCTACGAGCACTGGCCTATTTCTCGATGCCACCTATATTTAGGTTCCCATTCTCGTATGAATCATGAACGTTGCAGACGACCAACCCGAGTCGAACGTTGCGATTCGCCATCGAAGATGAATAGATGGTGGGCGGTGGATATTTATTCTGACAGATACTACGTACTACTTTCTGGGCTCGAGGGGATGAATCAAAGGTACATGATTCAAGTTTATGAAACGTTACCTCATCTGAAGCTGAGTTCCATTACATACAGGGTGTCCCAACAATAAAAATACTACAAAAATGTAAATTAAACTGATTTTTCTAATAGTATCGTAGAATCTTTTATAACTAACCCGATTTCACGCGTAGCACGATACAGGAAAAAATATAGAAAATATTAGGTTGTGCAGAAAGTTCGTGCCAATTTCTAAGAAAAATTCAAAAACACGTTTGAGTTTTAATATATATTTATTATATATTTAATATAATATATATTTAATATATATTTATTGAATTACATAGGTGCCATTTTGTTCCACAACCTTTCCACTTTTTAAGGGATGTATACATATTATTTGTTTTCAACCACTTCGATATATTCAGACCTGTACCACTTACCAAAAATCGACATGAACTTTCCGGACAACCTAATATTTTCCAACGAAAAACAACAATATATTATATACAGGGTGTCCCAAAAGTCGGGGAGGAGCCGGAAACGGGGGGTAGCTGAGACGATTCTGAACAAAAATTTCCTTTGCAAAAATGTTGTTCGACGCTTCGTTAAGGAGATATTAACGGAAAACCCCGGACCAATCAGAACGCGAGGGCGGTCGCTTAGCGCGTAGCCTACGCCTACCGCGGCCGCTCCACCGGGATACTCGCGCTCTGATTGGTCCAGAGTTATCTTTAAATATCTCCTTAACGAAGCCTCGGACAACATTTTCGCTAAGGAAAAATTTGTTTCAAATCACTTCCCGAACCTCCCCTTTCAAGGACCTCCAACCTTATTTCGGACACCCTGTAGAATTGTAAATAATTAAATAATCGGTACCCATGTTATCCATTAAATATTAAACAATCGGAAGTAATCGAACCACCCGTATCTAGGACCTTTAACATTTTTGGTATAGTTGCAAATGGGATCATCAGGAATACATGTACAAACTAAATGTGAAAGGATTGATCGCATTTGATAAAATCTTTGCCGAGTTACATAAAAAAATAGGAATTTTGCAGTAACAATTGTTATAAAGATTAAGAAATTCAAGAATGTTTATAACAATTTCTACTGCAAAAGTCCTATTTTTTTATGTAACTCGGCAAGAAATTAATCAATCGAGATGGAATCTTCTACATATAATGTCAAATAATTAATTATGTTCCCATTTAAAACATTTTTGAATTTCTTAATGTTTATAACAATTATTACTGCAAAATTCGTATCTTTTCATGTAACTCGGGAAAGAATTTACCAAATGCGATCAATCCTTTCACATTTAGTTTGCAGATGTATTCCTGATGATCCCACTTGCAACTATACAGGGTGTCCCAAAAATGTTGAAGGTCCTTGAAAGGGATGGTTCGGGAGGTGATTTGAAACAACTTTTTCCTTAGCGAAAATGTTGTACGACGCGTCGTTAAGAAGATAATAACGAAAAACCACCGACCAATCAGAGCGCGCGGATGCCAGTGGACCGCCCGCGGTAGGCGTAGACTGCGCGCTAGGCGACCGCCCTCCGCCGACATACGCGCGACCTGATTGGTCGCGGTTTTCTGTTAATAACTCCTTAATGAAGCGTCGGACAACATTTTGGCTAAGGAAAAAGTTGTTTCAAATCACCTCCCGAACCACCCCTTTCAACGACTTCCAATATTTTTGGGACACCCTGTATAAACATAATTTAAATTGACCGATCTAAAAAATGCCACCGAAAATACATAACTCCAAAAAGACATAATCAATGCCATGATCCTTCCACTCGCAACGCAACACTGAAAAACAAAATATAAATTACAGGAAACGTCAACGAAAAAAGAAAACTCTATTCCAACGAAAAACACGACCAAGGGAAAGCCCATTCAAGTATCGTTAGTGACGACAAGCACGCGATACCTACGACAATGCAAATCACGATACGTCTACGAAACGTGCGTTAGTGACTGTTACGTATTCAATCCTCGCCAACCGGCTCTCTGAAATCCAAAGTCAGGCGGTAAACACTCGAATCCAATGCCAGCAATCGAAAAAAACGACGAACAACACAGCAAATCTTCGATTCTCGTCGGCGAACTCACCGTCGCTGGCGTTCGTCGTTCCGGATATTCGAAGGAACTCTTGCAAATGCTCGGGCAATTCTCTCTCGTCCCCGAATTCCTTCCCGTCGATCAAACACTTCGCTCTTGGAATGTCATCCCTCTCCTCGACTTCCCCTCGTCTCCTCCCCTCGCTGTCCCTCCCACCCTCGGTCTCCGACTCGCTCCCGTCGAGGTTTATTCCGAATTTGTTCAGTCTGCTCCTCGCCTTCTCGATAAACTCTCTCTCGACGGCGCTCATCTCCGATTTCCCCTTCGGTTTACCGATTTCCTCGTGCGTGCTGATCTTCACGACTTTGTGATACTTCCTCTCCTCCCTCTCCAGGACCTTGTCCACATACTCGTCGTACATCCGGCGACGGAACGCCTCGCCGTTAACCAGGACGGCCGAGGTTCTTGGTTTCCCGACTCTTGTGGTTTCTCCGTTGCTCTCCGAGATATGGCCCGTCTCGGCCGCCATCTTGGGAAGTTGTTCACTCTCGCCGATGGTAGATGGCGCCACGCTCGCGATGCTAGGTGGCGCCACGCTCGCGATGGTAGATGGCGCCACGTTCGCGACGGTAGATGGCGCCACGTTCGCAATGGTAGATGGCGCCACGCTCGCGACGGTAGATGGCGCCACGTTCGCGATGCTAGATGGCGCCACGCTCGCGATGGTAGATGGCGCCACGCTCGCGACGGTAGATGGCGCCAGGGTCTCAATCTTCTGCCGGGACTCCGACACTGACTCTGTCTTCCTGTCCTTGTCTACCTTTTCCGAGCGATCCTTCTCCAAGGAGTTTTCGCTCTTCACTCCCGACATCTTCAACTCCTCCGGTCTTCCTTTCTCCCGCCACCGCTTCACCTGCACCTGGAACTCCTCGAAGGCCTCCTTCTCCTCCTCCTCGGCCAATATAACATTCTTCAGTTGGTTCTCCAGCAATTCTACATACCTCAACTGCTGCGCCAGGTCGCTCGACAGTGATTCCCGCCCTGTGTCCTCCAGCTGATCGTCCGCGTCCATCTGGAGCATCTTCAGGTTCTCCATGATCTCCGCAGCGGTCACGTGCTTGAGATTCTCCGGGTTCTTGTACCTGCGCGGCTCCAGGTGGCACCTGGGCGGGCTCTGGTCGAAGATGCTCGTGGTGTCGATGCACGACCTGTCCACATTCACCACGCGTTTCGTTCGCGGCGGAACCTCGACCCTGTCGTCGATCAGCGCCGGATTTACGTTGTAGCGCGGGTCGGTAGTCCTTCGAGGCGGCGTCTTCTTGCCAGCGGAATCCATCATGGCGGCCGATGAGGGCGTTTTGTCGATTAGGGCGCTGTTCAGCGTGATGGGGCTCCTGTTGAACGGCGTGGAGCTTCTGGCTGGAGGATCTGGCCTTTTTGGTGAATTTGATGATGGGATTGCGAAGCATGTGTGTTTGTTGTCGTCGAGATCCTTTGTATCCGGTTGGTTGCTGTGAAATCGCGCGGGGACGCTCGGAGGTGTCTTGAAGGACTCTCTCTCACCCGACGGTTCTATTAATAAATCATCGGAGAGAGATCCGGAGAGAGATTCGGAGAGCGCGTGGCGCGGCGCATCGACGGGCTCGCATCTAGCAAGGTGCAACCAGTCGCAGAGGCGAGTGGCCTTGAGACGCTCCCGACCTTTATCAACGGTGGATCTCGCGGTGGACTCGGACCGACTCGTTTCCTCGAACCTCACTGTCTCATTTACAGTGCTCTTTAATTGCTCAGGAGCTCGATCATTCCCAGAGTTCTCCTTTATGATCTCCAATAGTCTATTGGTCGGTTTGCTGTCAATTCCAACCGGTTTGCAGGATCCGTGACTCCTCTCTGCTTCCTGGACCACCGGACGTACCTCGACCCTGTATTTAGGAACCGGAATCCTCGCCGGTGGTTCCTCCTCGTAGTAGCTGTGCCTGTTGAGGAACTTCCTGTGGAGGTCCAACAAGTTATCGGCGCTGGTCTTTATCGCCGTCTTCTGCTGCGATGGTGAAAGACAGACGAGCAGCCTCGGGTCTCTTGCGGTGGTGAGACCTAGCCACGAACTCCCATCCGCCATCGCTTCCTCTTTCTTCTCCCTCTCTTTCTCCACCTTTTCTTTCTTCGCCTTCTCTTCCTTCCCTTCGAACCGTTCCGGTTTCTTCCGGCCCGAAACAGAGGTTCCACGCGGCTCGCAACGCCTCCGGCCATGCATGTCTACTGGAACGCCTTTAACCTCGCTCCCAGTTACTCCCTTCGCTCCTGTCCTAGCGAACACAGTACAGCTCGGTATAGAGCGCAGGCTTTCAAAGATGTCAAACTTGGGCACCGTTATCTCGTTGATTACCTGGAGACCGTACGGCATGGACAGAATTCGCTTGATGCAGAGGTTCTTCAGAGACTCCGGAACAACTCCGATGGCACTTTCATAGAGACTTTTGGAATTATCATCAGTTTCCAGGGGTACGTAGTATAAATCCTCCACTGGGGAGTAAGGTATGGGCTCTGGGGACAACGGAGGCTCGTGACTGGTCGCGGGGTCGTACGGTTCCTCTCTTTTTAAGAGAGGAAGCTTGCTCTTCAGACTGGACGACTCGGTGTCCTCGCGCCTGAGTTTACTCTTCCTCGCTTCCTCCGCTATTATCGAACAAACGTCGGCTTGCCACGCTTCCATTGGATTATACTTCACCGTGCTCAGCGAGGTGGCGCTACTGGACGAGTCCTGGGCCTGGCAGTCCGCTGTATCGGTCTTCTCCTTGTCGCCTTGGGGTTCACTCGACTGTTCGGTCCTGGAGCCTCGCTCCTCGTCCTTGCTATCGGTTCCTTGCTTGGTTCGACCACAGTCGTCACCGGTTTCGCGAGCATAGTAACTCCTGTCGTCTGTTATCCTCGAATGATTGTATATCTCTTCGAACTCTTCCTCGCTGGTCGTCAGCTCCTTCGAACTAACATTTCCGAGGACTTGCTCGCTCCCCTTGACGTCGCTGACGGTCGTTCGGATCGTCTTGGTGCTCTTGGTTATATTTTTAGCGACCTTGGTGCGAACCTGCTTCTCGCTGAGTACCTGATGCTCCCGTATGGATTCGACATCCTCTCCAAACCGTTTCTCGGACGTCTCCATTTCCTTGTCAATTTTAGACTCCTCACGCTCGAAGGTCTCCTTATTGACGTTTAAACGCTCCATAACTGCTTTCTTTAACTGCTCAGCTGATCCTAACGCGGTGGACGTCGTCGACGACTCGGGCACCGAGCATTTTTCGCGCGTCTTTTCCCGCGCGTAGCGGCACGTTATTTCAGGACTTGCCTCATTGCCAAGCCCGGCGCCGTTCCCGACGCAATCGCGCGATCCGGCGATGCTGTCACTTTCGAAACGAGCCGTGGCTCCGCGGACCCTCGAGTCGTCGACAATCGGTAAGCGGCACGAGTCGGCCAGGCTGTTGTCGCGAGTATTCCGAGGGCCGGCGTCGTTTCGCGAGGGAATTTCCGACAGGCTTCCGATGACGCTGGGAATATTGCTGACACTTTCGATCGGTGTTGACTGTGCTGGCGATGCGGTGAATCGCGGCTTGGACGCGTCGAGGCTTTCTCTGGGCAATGGAGGACGATTCGGCGGACTGTCTTCGACTGAGGTTTCGTTTGTCTTTCGTTTGTCCCTTTTGCGGCGGATTGGAGGCTCTGGGTGATTGGCATCGAGAGCAAGAGGACGGGTGCTCGAGTTTTCTGGGAAACCGACATCCATGAGGCTGGACGATCTCTTTGGTGGTGTGGGCGGACGACGGTGGTCTTTCTTCGTGGAAACGTTTGGCACTTGTGATTGCAATTTTGCGTACTGGGGCGGTACTAGAGTTGGGGGTGGATATTCTGTGTTTATTGCAGGTTTCGTTGAGGGTTTCGCGGGGTTTGAGGTATCGGCGGTGGTCAGTGGATTAAGATTGCGGAAATTGAGTGGTTCGGTGTTTAGATTGGCAGAGTTTAATTCATTTTGGGAGAGTATACTAGGTTCTGGGTTATTTATTGCAGCTCCTGTTGCCTGTTTTTCGGAAACATTGCTAGGTGAATCAGTGTTTTTTGAATTGAGTGGCTCATTATTTGCATTGGCGGAGTTTTCTTCATTTTGTGGGAGTATACTTGCTTCAGAATTATTTATTGCGGCTTCTGGTGCCTGTTTTTCAGACTCTGAAATATTGCTCGGTGGAACAGTGTTGTTTGAATCGAGTGGCTCATTATCTGCACTGGAAAAGTTTTCTTCGTTCTCTGACAACTTGCTCGCTTCAGGATTATTTATTCCAACTTCTATCGCCTGTTTTTCAGTCTCTGAAACATTCCTCGATGGATTAGTATTGCTTGAATTAAGTCCTTCATCGTCTGCACTGGGAAATTCGTCTCCATTTTCTGCCAACATGCTCGCTTCACAATTTTCATTTAATCTAACTTCTGTTGCCTCCTTTTCAGCTTCCAAATTATTACTCGGCGCCTTGGAAGAATTCAGTGATTTATCAGAGCCTTCTGCATCGGCAGAATTTTTTTCTTTACTTTCCGGCAACATACAATTTCTTCTAACATCACTTTTCTCTTGCAGCTTCTTTTTCACAGGCTCGCTGATCGATGGCACATTTTTAGAATCGGAAATGTCTGTTGCTATTTCCAACTGCTTAATCTCTGGCTGTTTTGGCAACGCCATGCGAGAATCCTGACAGTTATCCAATTTTAATTCGTCGTGTCTTGCTTTTGATTCTCCTGTCGCGAATTCAGTAACGGTTGAAGTATTTGGCGATAAATGCGATTTTCCTGTTTCCGATTGTTTGGCAGTTGCTGCGAAATCATTGGAGTTCTCATTACTGGATGGTAAGTTATTTATCGACGTCTCGCGTGATATTTTTATAGTGTTTGCTTCTTGGAAGGTTTTTTTGTATCGTTGTTCTTGTAGGGGTCCTTTTAAATTTCTTTGGGGATCTTTTGCGAGTGTGTCGCTTTTGTTCTGAGCTTTCTTGAATTTTGATACTACGACCTCTGAAATGCTACTTTTTATGTATTTTTTCGTGGAGGTTTCTTTGTGTGACTCTCTTTCTATTTTTAAAGTTTTCTTGTCTTCTTTCGTGTCACTTAGTGATTCTGAGATGGGTTTGGTTAAATTTTCTTCAAGTTGTGTCAAGTTATCATTCCTAGTTTTAATTCTAGTTTCATTTTTAGTTTCATTTTCAGTTTCATTTTCAATTTCATTTGTAGTTTCATTTCCAGTTTCATTTCTAGTTTCATTTTTAGTTTCATTTCTAGTTTCATTTTTAGTTTCATTTTTAGTTTCATTTCCAGTTACACTTCCAGTTTCATTCGTAGTTTCATTTCTAGTTTTATGTCCAGCTTCATTTCCCGTTTCATTTCTAGTTTCATTTTTAGTTTCATTTTTAGTTTCATTCCTAGTTACATTTCCAGTTTCATTTCTAGTTTCATTTTTAGTTTCATTTTCAGTTTCATTTTCAGTTTCATTTTCAATTTCATTTTTAGTTTCATTTCTAGTTTCATGTCCAGTTTCATGTCCAGTTTCATTTCTGGTTCCATTTTTAGTTTTATTTCTAGTTTCATTTCCAGTTTCGTTTCTAGTTTTATTTCTAGTTTCACTTGCAGTTTCATTTCTAGTTTTATTTCTAGTTTCATTTCTAGTGTTCTCAAATGTTGATCTTCCTGTCTCTGAAATGCTCTTTACCACGCAATTTTTTTTATTTATTTCGTCTGGCAACTGTGACTCTCCTCCCATTTCAAAAATTTCCTTCTCTTTCTTCGTGTCACATGGTGATTCTGAGACAGTTCCTTTTAACTTCTCTTCAACCAGTGGATTATCATTCCTAGTTTCATTTCTAGTTTCATCTCCAGTTTCACTTCTAGTTTTATTTATAGTTTCATTTCCAGTTTCATTTCTAGTTTTATTTCTAGTTTCACTTGCAGTTTCATTTCTAGTTTCATTTCTAGTTTCATCTCCAGTTTCACTTCTAGTTTTATTTATAGTTTCATTTCCAGTTTCATTTTTAGTTTTATTTCTAGTTTCATTTCCAGTTTCACTTCTAGTTTTATTTATAGTTTCATTTCTAGTTTCATTTTTAGTTTCATTTCTAGTTTGTTTTCCAGTTTCATCTTTAGTTTCACTCCTAGTTACATTTCCAGTTTCATTTCTAGTTTCACTTGCAGTTTTATTTCTAGTTTCATTTCTAGTTTCTTTTCTAGTTTCATCTCCTGTTTCATTCCTAGTTTTATTTCTCATTTCATTTCCAGTTTCACTTCTAGTTTTATTTATGGTTTCATTTTTAGTTTCATTTCTAGTTGTTTCATTTTTAGTTTCATTCCTAGTTACATTTCTAGTTTCATTTCTAGTTTTATTTCTAGTTTCACTTGCAGTTTCATTTATAGTTTCGTTTCTAGTTTCATTTCTAGTCTTCTCAAATTTTGATCTTGCTGCCTCTGAAACGCTCTCTACCACGCAATTCTTTTTATTTATTTCATCTGTCAACTGTGACTCTCCTCCCATTTCCAAAATTTCCTTGTCTTCCTTCGTGCCACTTGGTGATTCTGAGACAGCTCCTTTCAAATTCTCTTCAACTAGTGGATTATCATTCCTAGTTTCATTTCTAGTTTTATTTCTAGTTTCATGTCCACTTTCATTTCTAGTTTCATTTCCACTTTCATTTCTAGTTTTATTTCTAGTTTCACTTCCAGTTTCATTTCTAGTTACATTTCTAGTCTTCTCAAATTTTGATCTTCCTGCCTCTGAAACGCTCTCCACCACCAAATTCTTTTCATCTATTTCATCTAGCAACTCTCCTCCCATTTCCAAAATCTCCTTCCCTTCCTTCATCCCTATTTGCAATCCCAAATCACTTCCTTTCAAATCCACCCCATATAAACCATACCTCCCTGCAGATACTTCTCCACTCGCCCTCCTTCCCTCGCATTCCGACCCCTCTACATCCAAATTTCCCCTCAACCCACACCCATCCTCCTCAACCGATTCTCCACTCTCTTCCTCCACTCCCTCTCCAACATGCGACACCACTCCCCTCACTCCCCTCACTCCTCTCACTCTCATCCTCAAATCCGCGCCGTCCTCCCGCTCCGAGCCATCCGTATCCGAATCTCCCTCCGCCGCGTCCATCTTCATCACGTGTTCCTCCCACTCCAACCTTCCTCCCGCCTCCAAGTCCCACTTCCGTCGATCGGTGCGCCTCTCCTCCCTCCGATACTTGCCGATCTCTTCATTAATAAAATCCCTGATGTGCTGCTCCTCGTCCTCCGACAGCTTCTCCCCCTCCTCCTGTATAATATCCAGGAATCGGTTCGCGGCCACAGAGTGCGCGTAGTACGACTCCAGCGCCGCGCGTTTCCTAACCTTTTTATACGTCAAACTGCGCACGCGCTCGCTCGATCTCCACGTCTCCTCCGCGTCCTCCGCGTCCTCCGCGTACGTCGGCAACTTCAAGTCCTCGATAAAGCTCCTCAATTTCCTCTCCACGTCCCCAGGCATCACGCTGTCCCAAACATGTGCCTCGGCGCACCCCGTCTCCCCGATATCGTTATCAGAGGGCGCCTCCGTCGCGTCTCTCTCGACGTCCGACTCCATTTCCACGATAACCGGTTTGACGTTCGCGGTTTCGACGTCGCAGTCGCTTACGTCATGGATTTGCAGGCGTCCGCCGGGCGTTAGAGCGTCGACGGCCTCGGCAGCCGAGCGAAACGGCTCCAGGGCGTCGCTGAAGGTGATTATACCTGCATTACCGACTGAGTCGTCTTTGTTGCCTGTTTCTAGAATACCGACTCCTGGTATGTGATCGATCCTGGCCGCTAACGGCAGGCTGCTTAGGGTCGTGATCTCCACGACCTTCACGCTGGGCACCACGGTGCCTTTGCGGATTCTGCATCTCTCCTCCGTGTTTCTGAGAGCCTCGAGGTCGTTGGAGGCATTTGGAACCTCGTCGACTTCTTCGTTTGTTTCGATGTGTTTCGATGGGTCTGCGTCGTCACTGTGTATCGTGTCGTTCGTTCTCTGTGAGGAAGCTTGTAGGTCGTTTGGTGTTTCTTCTAGTCGCTTCTCGTCGTCTTTCGGTGCTCTTTCAGGGGTTGGAGGTCGTTGGAACCGCCTCCTGTTGCGACCTTTGCGATTCCTGCGGTTTCGCGCTCCGTGCGGCATGGCTACGTCTTCCGCGTCTGTCGCGTACTCCAAGGATTCGGTAAATCCTGCGGAATTGCCGAATCGAGGGTTTAAGGTGAAAAAGGTTGAGTAGGAGTTTGTACTCGAATCGATGCGTTCGACGGTCCTGCGTCGAGTTCCTTTGGAATTTTCTTTAGGATCGAGACTTGTACTGGCGCGACATAGACATCGGAAGCTTTGTGTTCCTCGTGGACGGAAAGAACCTTACAGAGAAGGCCTGTTCTAATCGATAAAGTGAAGTGGGATAAGCAAACCCCAGAATGTTCTTCTGTTTCGTTAGTTTGTTGATTTAGGTGTAAGCGTACTGTGGATCTAATGGATAGGTTAAGTCTTTGAAAGAAAATTCGAAAATTCGAAAAAGGACAGAGGTGTGAATTTTTAAAAAATATCACCTTGTAGGGGACGATAAGACGGAAGTTTTTTGTATTTACAGTTTATTCGTAGAACGTTTAGTTTCGAAAATAAAAATTCAGATAGAAGTTCGTTGGAAAAATTGATTTTCAGAAAAGGGCTCTGGGTTAGGTCTCGGTTATGTCTGTTTATATTCGGTAAACCAACTTTTAAAAAATATCAGCTTACAGGGGACGATGAGACGGAAGTTTTTTGTATTTACAGTTTATTCGTAGGACGTTTAGTTTCGAAAATAAAAATTGAAAACTTGGAAGACTACTTTCTACTACTCTGAATCTAATGAATAGGTTAATCCTTTGCTGAAAATTCGATAAGACCCAGAGGTGAGAATTTTTAAAAAATATCACCTTGTAGGGGACGATAAGACGGAAGATTTTTGTATTTACAGTTTATTCGTAGAACGTTCAGTTTCGAAAATAAAAATTGAAAACTTATTTTTATTATTTTATTCTTCCCCGCATACTGTTTATATTGCTATAATTCTATTGATTTTATGGAATTCTTTTATACAGGGTGTCCCAAAAATGTTGTAACACAACATTTTTCAAGGAAAGGGGTGATTCGGGAGGTGATTTGAAGCAACTTTTTCCCTAGAGAAAATGTTGTACGAGGCTTCGTTAAGGAGATATTAACAGAAAACCCCGGACCATTCAGAGCGCAAGCGCGCCTGCGGTAGGCGTGGGGCACGCGCTAGGCGACCGCCCTCCGTCGGCATACGCGCGCTCTGATTGGTCCGTGTTTTCACTTAATAACTTCTTAACGAAGCCTCGGAGAACATTTTCGCTAAGGAAAAAGTTGTTTCAAATCACCTGCGGAATCACCTCTTTCAAGGACCTCCAACATTTTTGGGACACCCTGTATACACTTTTCGCAGTCAAAGAATTAATGAGAAATAGATAAATTAATTATTGTAACTACTAATTATTGTAACTATTATCTAAGGAAAGCTACTTAACTAAGCGCGTGTTAATATTTTTACCTTTTTTAATATTCTACTGCCACTCTAGAACACAATTATACCGCATTGCATATTTTTAAACGTTTCAGACTTGAAATGAAAAAAACATCAATTATGTGAGCCGAAAAGATAATGAAATTTATATTACTCTGTTTGATGTTGCTTTTCATTTCATACAATTGATTTTATTTTATATTGATTCGAAAGGTTTGAATCATTTAAAAATATGGGTGATGTTATAATTACGATTCACAGTGTATAAATATTTTAAGTGACTAGGATACGATTAAGGAGTTAGTATTAAAATAGTATGCTTCTCTATATTTTTTTTTTTTTTTAATATAATTAATATATTACTTGTTGTTAACTGTAAAATGTAATTAATAATTGTAATGATTAATGCTTCTTATGATTATGGATGAAATGAAAACAAAGGATTTAATGGTGCACTAGAAGTGAAAGAGAAGAGAAATATAGTTCGTAGCAATCATGCAACAAGCATGACTCAATTCGGCATTCCAAGATATTGGATTTTAGTCGAATACGGAAATTCATGGTACTTACTTTTATTGGTTTCGTCTCGTTGCTCGATCAAGGAACTCTTCGGACCGCCGTTCTGATTGGCAAAACTCTGATCGGGTTTTGTGTTATCTGAAAAAAAAAACACGAAATTGTATTTCAAACTGTTCGCTTTACGTCGCTTTATTTATAACAATTTATAATTAAGACGTTTCTAGTTACTTATAAATGTAATGAATGAAAGTCTCTTGTTAAATAAAATTTCAGGAAATTCTAAATAACCAAATAGAATATTATAAAAAAGAAAAAAATATGCAAACTCTAAAATATTAAAAAATAAGAAAATTTAGGTTCAGGTACAACAACGTTCGAATAAAACAGCTCAAATATTGTAATAACCTAAAAAACAAAAAAATAACCACGCATTACTCGAATTTTCTCTTATTTATGTTTACACAATTTGGAAATAATGATATGATTTAATATGATTTAAAATATGATAAGAAATATTGCCAGAAATTAGTTTATTTCTTTTTTTCATAATTTTATTTTCACAATTATTTTCATTTAATTTTTTTTCGCCACTTAATCATCATTTGTAAACATCCAAATAATGATATCAAATATGATTTAAAATATGATAAGAAATATTGCCAGAAATTAGTTTATTTTTTTTTTCATAATTTTATTTTCACAATTATTTTCATTTAATTTTTGTTCGTTATTTAATCATTTACAGTATTATAAAACGTAGTCACCGATGACCCCTGATTATGCTCGTTCAATGTACAAGGGGAAGTAACTAGCTTGTGCTATTAGAACAGAGAATTGCAAATTGCTCTGGTAGGGTTGTTGCACTGACCTATGTTAAACGTGACCATTGTGTATATACTTCAACACTTTTCAAAATTTTTTAGAATCTTCTCATGTAATAGTTTGAATAAAATGACAAACTAAACAATTATTCAATATATGAATAAGATACATGAATAAAATAACAAACTGAACAATTATTCAATATATGAATAAAATATATGAAAAAAATAAAAAACTAAACAATTATACAATATATGAATAAAATATATGAAAAAAATAACAAACTAAACAATTATTCAATATATGAATAAAATATATGAAAAAAATAACAAACTAAACAATTATTCAATATATGAATAAGATACATGAATAAAATAACAAACTAAACAATTATTCAATATATGATTAAATTGTAAATATAACGTCTACGCTCCACTGTTACATTATAATAAATTATGCTATCTTTAAGACAAATTAAATCATTAATGCTCAATGACACAGACTTGGTCAAATTCAATTTTAGATGGTTTAATTTCTACACCAATTATTTGCCATTGTTATGGTATTGAAATAAATTAATAAAATTAAAATTTATACATAAAACTATATCTTTGCGATTAAAAGAAAAAATAATAACCTAATGTATTAATCAAATTAATTCTCTATTGCAATAATTGTTCCCAAAAATTGGAATGAGAGCATTGGTAATAATTGAATGACATTAAATAGAAATTTGAAGTATGTACATAGATCAAATTGAGAAGCTTGGTACTTTTAATGTTAAGATAATTTTGTTTTCTGTACAATATATATATATTGTACAATCCTCTTTTCTAAACGGAATCAATGTACAAAATCACAGTTAAATAACGATTGAATTACCATTAATGTAGTAAACTGAACACACAGTGAATATTTAACAGGTTTTTGCTATACTTTTCAAAATACCACTAGAATATAAAAAATCTCAAAAACTTTTCAGAAATTCTTAATGCTCGAATAGATATTAACACTTCATCTACAGGTTCATTCGAAAAGACCCTGCACCTTAGAAAAGAATTTTCTGTTTTAGTATACAGGGTGTCACAGGCAACTGGAACAAGATGCATCATCTAAACGGTTGGGAATAGAAACAAATGTTATAAGTGAAAGTTGAATGGACTCAGATGGTGCGTAACATGCAATTAATTTTATGCATACTTGTGCATCAATTTTTCTAATGCACCGATGCACAAAAGTGCATAAAATTAGTTACATGTTATGCACCGTAAGAAACCATTTAACTTTCCACTTATAACATATTTTTCTATTCCCAACCATGTATATATATATATACATGAATAAAATATATGATTAAATTGTAAATATAACGTCTACGCTCCACTGTTACATTATAATAAATTATGCTATCTTTAAGACAAATTAAACCATTAATGCTCAATGACACAGACTTGCTCAAATTCAATTTTAGATGGTTTAATTTCTACACCAATTATTTACCATTGTTATGGTATTGAAATAAATTAATGAAATTAAAATTTATAACCTAAAAAATAATATGTATATATATATATATATATATATATATATATATATATATATATAGCCTGTTCCAGTTGCGTGGGACACCCTGTATGTTAATTTAGGCTGACTTCAGCTTCCACACACATTTCCACTTTTTCTTTTTTTATTGTGTTTTTATAGTTACATCCACCTCACAAGATTATTAGCAACTATTGGGTTGTCCAGAAAGTTCGTGCCAATTTTTAAGAAACATTCAAAAACACGTTTGAATTTTGATATACATTTATTGAATTATTTATGTACCATTTGGTTCCACAACTTTTCCACTTTTTAAGGGGATGTCCACATGTTATTTGTTTTATTTTATTTATATATTCATATATTTTATTTATATATTATTTTATTTGATATATTCAGACCTGTACCGCCTACTAAAAATCGGCATGGACTTTCCAGACAACCCGATACATGAATTTCTGGTACGTCTAAATCTGGATCAATAGCTTTGTTTGCTCATAAATTTCAAAAAATTTGTGATTTTAAAATACAGTTAATACTTACAAACTCAAAGTAATTTTCCACAGTATTATAAAAGAGTTATTCTCCATGAACACAGTTCAACTATAGCAGATTATTTAATTCTGTACGTATTAAAAACAATGAAATTTATTTTCAGAGATTCCGACTTCGTTATTCATTGAAATATTAAATATTCATCCTCGAGCCTATAAAATTATTCACATCTCTCTAGAAGCAAACGAAAGAAACTAACAAAATTAATTACAGAAATTGAGTCATTAATAAGAATAAATCTGTATACAATTCGTGAATTTGCCAAAATTCAGAAATCAAATACTACTAAATAATAAATATTAAATTATGTAGAAATTTTCACGAATTTTAATTTGGCACCTAACGTATCGATTAAAAACAATATAAATAAGCTACCAGTAGATAAAGCGTCAACTAAAAAAATTTCACCGAAGCCCTTTTTATTAAAACAACAAAACCACGTCACGCCTATCCACGGGACATCTAATCGACAGTAAAATAATTCGAAAAGTTGACGAAGCTAGCCATGGGACACGATGTATACAAAATGCACGAACAATTGCACCACGTCCGCGTATTTCGCCGTCACTGACAGTCGCTTATGAATCCCGAATGAAATGTCAACGGGCCACAAATCAACGGCACGGCCTGTAGGGTCCACGAATCGCGGGAATGGACTGAGCGCAAACAGATCCATCACCCGTGAAACACGCTTACGTCCCCACCCACGCGTTCGACCCTCTGTTACCGCGTACGATTGTTAACGTGTGTTGTTTATACAGGGTGATCAAAAAGAAAGCATTCAATATTTATATGGTGTATAGGGCACACTGTACCGAGTAAAAAAGCTTTGGAAAACATAGGTCCGAAGGTCAACCGTTTCTGAGATATAAACATTTTTGTTTGCTAGTATCACGATTGACTTACTACTGGGTTTTCGATATTTACAGGGTGTCTCAAAAATGGTGGAAAGGGTGATTCGCGAGGTCATTTGAAACAACTTTTTCCTTACAATTAGCGAAAATGTTGTCCGAGGCTTCGTTACGGAGATATTAAGGGAAAACGTTGACCAATCAGAGCGCGAGGATGCTGGTGGAGCAGCCGCGTTCATACGCGACCGCGAGCGCTCCAACGGTATACGCGCGCTCTGATTGGTCCGGGGTTTTTTCTAATTATCTCTTTAACGTAGCCTCGGACAACATTTTCGCTAAGGAAAAAGTTGTTTCATATCACCTCCCGAACCACCCCTTTCAAGGTGTTACAACATTTTTAGGACACCCTGTATATAGATGGTGGAGGTGATTTGGAACAACTTTTTCCTTAGCGAAAATGTTGTCCGAGGCTTCGTTACGGAGATACTAAGAGAAAACCCTCGACCAATCACAGCGCGCGTTTACCGTTGAAGTGCCCACGGTAGCGTATGAGCGCGGCCGCTCCAACGGTACACGCGCGCTCTGATTGGCCCGGAGTTTTCTGTTAATAACTCTTCAACGTAGCCTCGGACAACATTATCGCTGAGGAAAAAGTTGTTTCAAATCACCTCCCGAACCACCCCTTTCAAGGTGTTACAACATTTTTAGGACACCCTGTATGTAGATGGTGGAGGTGATTTGGAACAACTTTTTCCTTAGCGAAAATGTTGTCCGAGGCTTCGTTACGGAAATATTAACGAAAAATGACGGACCAATCAGAGCGCGAGGATACTGGTGGAGCAGCCGCGCTCATACGCTACGGCGAGCGCTCCAACGGTATACGCGCGCTCTGATTGGTCCGGGGTTTTCTGTTAATATCTCCGTAACGAAGCCTCGGACAACATTTTCGCTAAGGAAAAAGTTGTTTTAAATCACCTCTACTCTGTATATACAGAGTGACCTAAAAATATGTAACACCCTGAAAGGGGTGGTTCGGGATGTAATTTGAAACAAATTTTTCGTTAACAAAAATGTTGTCGGAGGCTTCGTTGAGGAGATATTAACAGAAAACCCTCGACCAATCAGAGCGCGAGTATGCCGGTAGGTGGGCCGCGGTAGCGAAGGCTACGCGCCCTGATTGGTCCGGGGTTTTCTGTTAATATCTCCGTAACGAAGGCTCGGACGACATTTTCGCTAAGGAAAAAGTTGTTTCAAATCACCTCCCGAACCACCTCTTTGAAGGTGCTGCAACATTTTTGGGACACACTGTATACAAGATTTTCCACGTGTCCACCGCTCATTTCTGTACACGAAATTGAAAAAAATGAA